AGCAATGCCCTCTATCGAAACTTGGCGATGATCTCCGCCACGGTTTCCATAGTCTGTCTCATGTCCAAAAACTCTCTGGCCAGATGTTGAAGCTCTACAACTGGCGAAAACTCTGCTCAGAACCGGGTCACAAAATTTGACCATGTCATAGCCTAAACAACGGAGGCTCGCAGAGAGTCACCAACCGATTCCCACCAATCCCTAGCCCGGTCCCTCAAACACCCTGCTGCAAATCGTACCTTCGACCCCTCAGGGCAGAAGCGGGTCAGCTGCATGGACTCAATGTCCACAATCCATCGTCTGACAGCAATGGGGTACTTCGCCCCATGGAAATTCAGTGCACCAGTTCCCTTGAAGTCCTTAAAGGACAGTGTGCGGGATCCTGACTAGCCAGACGCCATATCACTCCTGAACGCCCTGAGGAGATCCTCGACTATCCCTTCCTTGATCGACTTGAAGATGATGGGGGCCGACTCAAGAATGCCTCTGGTGATCTCTGATGCGATGAACTCGCATAGCCTCTCATCGACGGGCTTGGAACCTGATCCCGAACCCTATCCCTCTCCTGAACTGCCAACTATCGGGCTCTGCTGTAGTACCACCATTCTGCAAAACATAATGATAGCCGTTAGTGATACCGATACATCTCGAGGGATCACATCCACTACAAGTTCCCTGGTCTTGTCTCAACCTTCCTCAATTTAGGTTCGGATCCTCTACTTTCAGTAGTATGGGCCCATACTACCTTCCACATCTATGCGTACCTTCCTCAAGGACTGCCTTAACTCCACCAAGTCCCTTTCACCACTACTGATTCTCTGGTACTCCCATCCTAGGCTTACCCTAGGGAAAATCTCTAACTCCACCCAAATCGGTCCTCAGCAGCTGAAGGCCTCCTTGTAATGCCAATTATCCGTTACCTAAATACCATCACATGTGATGAGGCTCAGATAATCCTTCGAGTAACAGACTCGTCCCTACAACGGTTAGGCTCAGACGAGAGCTGCACAATAGGGCCCATTCTAGCACTATGAGATTATTCAACCCTGATCACATGTGATGTGACATATTCACCTAATGGCTAACTCCTATCACTCAGAGTCCCACAAAGCACAAATCAAGCAGCATTTGGATGCAGGAAAAACTACTAAAGCAAATCTGTCCTCATAATGAGCAGCTGAACTAGCATATAATGTTGAGCTCATACTACCAGGCATAACCTAAACAAGCTATCCTACTACTGTCAACTCAATACTGGCATGCAATTCTCATAAGCTGAAGCACATAAAGCAGGCACATAAGGCATCATTCCTAGATCCTTAGTCCTATTCTAGCATGTTGTTCTACTGAAACTGATAAGCATAAGATAACTGGTATGGGTACTATGGGGAATACTTACTTAAGCTTGGCCGGTTGCGCACATCACACACTTGTTGCTTCTCAAAACTCTTTTATCTTAGCTTTTAGAAAGTCATTTTCCTTGTAAAAATCTTTTAATCCCTTGGTTTGAGTCCACACCCCCGAAGGTGTGTCCGAATCCCTCAAACCAGGGCTCTGATACCAACTTGTAACGACCCAATTTTCATGACCAAAAATTTCATTTTTGATTAAGTGATTTGCACAACATTTGTATTAAAATATCACCGATCATAATATCATTTAATAAAAGCATGTCTCGTATCTGAAAACCGAATCGTAAAAACATAATAATGTCAGAGTACAAATCCCAGAATAACTCATAATGCAGTAAACAAAGAGTGTGTGTATGATGTGCCGCTACCGCGCTAACTCCTTCCCCTTTGTTGAAGAGGTACCTGAAACCAAAACTGTAAACTGTAAGCACAAAGCTTATTGAGTTCCCCCATCGTACTACAACCCATGCAATCATATAACATACATACTACTGGGCAATTCTGGGGTGCCCGACCTACCCGATACGACCATTCTGGGGTGCCGACCTACCCATGCGGCCATTCTGGGGTGCCGTCCTACTCATGCGGTCATTCTGGAGTGTCGTCCTACCCATGCGGCCACTCTGGGGTGCCTTCCTACCCATGTCAATTCATTATGGGGTGCTGGCCTACCGTCGGTCCTAACAACCGAGCTGAAGGACTATTCCCCTCCTACTACCGCTATCACATATAACATATCATGCCATCATATAAACATATCAGCACATATTATTAGACATATATGGGGTGTCTAACCTACCCTTCGGTCCTAACAACCGAACTCTACTACTATCACATATAACATTTCATGGCAACATATAACATATCAGGTAGTAGCAAACCTAGATGATATCACAAAGACAATCATCTAACATACAACTCTTACTGGTGGTCCGGCATTGTAGTCGTAGACCCACCTCTACTGGAAAGTAACTCACCTCGTAGTAGCTGCTGATCTATGCGGGAATCCTCTGACTGCTGCCGTTGCTGCTCCGAAAATCCTCCAGCTATAATTCCCACAAAACAATTAGTCATACACTGCTAACTGTTCTTAGGGTAAAATGACCATTTTAACCTTGACCAAATCAAAGTCAAAGTTAACTTCTAGTTGACATGACTTGCCGAGTTGGCTCACCAACTAGCCGAGTCCCTATCCTTCCATTTGCCCTTATACCCGTCTATACTCGTCGAGTTAGGCGATGACTCAATGAGTTTTCCTTCTAAATGAACATCGACTGAATCCTCATCTAACTCGCTGAGTTGTATGAACAACTCGTCGAGTTCATCTTCAACTGATACACAGGTCCTATCCTTGACTCGCCAATTTGTATGAACAACTCTTCGAGTTCATCTTCATCCTTAAGAATTTTGCCTTGGACTCGCCGAGTCTGCTCATGCACTCGCCAAGTCCCATGAACTTCCAGAACAATGGTTTAGTCTAGAACGTTGGGTCACTCTTAGGAACCCCCCCCCCCTAAAACCTTTCCACACTCAATTGGGTCCTTATGACCCTCAAATGATATGGGACAGAACCCTTGGACTCGCCGAGTCCAAGAATGGACTCGTCAAGTTGGTCACATCCTCTCACTAAATCTTCGATTTCTGATGTACAACCCTTGATCCAAAGATAGATCTATGCTTCTACAATCGATCTAGCACATAAAGTTACAACCTTTACGCTCTTGCATGGGACTTTGAGCTCAAAAGGTCCTAAAACAATCTCTTACAATGCATGGGTCCTTCTTTGAGTGCAAGAGTCACTCCTTTCTGCCTTGTAACCCCTCTAAGGGCCTAGATCTGAAACATCAACCCTTAACCATGCTTGCAATCATGGTTGGTGGCCAAAATGGCTTAGAAAAGCCCTAAACCTCCACAAAATGGGATCTATCAAAAGAAAAAACAAGGTATAGACTTTATACCTTCTGAAGACTGCAAATGATGCGCAAAATCAGATCCTTCTAGCCTCCTCTTGATCCTTCAATCCTTTCCTTCCTTCCTTGGGTCACAAAAGCACCAAAATCACTCCAAATGCCTTAGATTGCTATAATAACAGCTACGGTTTGCTATGGGGGTCTTCTGGGAGCAAATGGGACGAAGGAGGCCGAGTTAAGGTGTTTAAATAGGGTGCAAACCCTCGGGTTAGGGTTTTTGTCCAGACAGGGCCTACTCGCCGAGTCTGGGACCAAAATCGTCGAGTCCACTACTTAAACCCCGCGTCTCATCTAGCTTCTACTCGGCGAGTTGGTCCTTCAACTCGCCGAGTCCAAGGCCAAAATGCAAAAATATAACTAAAAGAATACGTACTAAGAATCAGGTGCTACATACATGTAATTCATATGTGAATTACATGTGATTTACATGTAATTCACCTCTCTGAATTGGTTAGCATCTCTCGTGGTATAGGTATTGCCCTGCGCTTGGTATGTCTTGTGGTTTATGATTGCCTAAATCTTGAGAAACTATCCTACATGGAAGCTTCTGATCATATCAAGGAAATTAAAGTAAAGAATGAATGGTGGGATGCATTGAAATGGTGAAAACCGGAGTGGACCAGTGGTCGGCCTGATTATCTGGCTAGAGTTTTCATTCCGCTTGGAACAAATGCAGACATTATGGATGAACTAGCTGATGCTGTGAACATTCTCCCGTATTTAAGTGATTAGTTTTTTTACCACAGGTGAAGTTTCTTATCATGATATCTTAAAATCAATTGATCTCATAAACATTATCATTCTTTATCATCTTAAACTTGAAAGCATATCAATTCACCACTACTGAACGGGGTATAAGGGATTCTAATATGTATTGAAATAATAGTATGATTTCTTTTAATGTGTGTTAGGTATTGAGGAGCTTACTAAGGAAATATTGATGTGGTTAAATAAGATTTAATTCACATATGAATCACAAGTGATTCACATGTAAATCACAAGTGAATCACATGTGATTCACATGTAAATCACAAGTGAATCACATATGAATCACATGTGATTCACATGTAAATTACAAATGAATTACTTGTGAATTTACATGTAAATCACATGTAATTCACATGTAAATCACATGTAATTCACATATGAATTACATGTAATTCACATATATTAGCAAAACTTGCATAATATACCAAAAGTTGTTAAACTTAGTCACTATAGTGTTTTACAAAATAAAGTGCATACTAATTTTTTTTCCAAAATAGCCCATATAATTAATTAAATCCTAACATTCTACTGGATAAAAAGAGCTTTGTTTTTAGACATTCCTATTCCTTTTTTTTCTATTACAATTTTTTTAACTTGTTCTCAGTGATCCTTTCATAAGTTTTTCTAGTTCTGATCATTTTAGAAGTTTTTCTAGATCTTCCTTCCTCTATCTGTGTAATCCACATGATCTTTGTTATCGACCTCATTATCTTCCTTCTTTTCTTCTTCACCAATTCCTTTTCTGACATATTCTAGTATAGAAATATATATATATATATATATATATATATATATATATATATATATATATGTTAGTTATGTTATTAGAATTTAAAATTTACTCTGAACTTTAAAAATATACGTTTGAGATCTCTTTTGATTTATGAAAGAAGTCATCAAATTCCTTAAGTTGTTCTTTGGTGATATTAAGAATCGAATTGATATCTTGCTCACTGTAATTTGATTGTCTCAAATCATTCAGAAGTTTACGAAGTCTTTCTCCTTCAATGATATGCTCGACCTGAACACATGCTTTTGGAAGATGTTGATTTTCCAAAGTTGTTTGAACGTTTTGAGTAATTTCCAAATTTTCAGGTTCTCCATCTATATTATAAAATTTGTGATGCACTCTATCTTTATTAACTAAATCAAATTCATATAACACTTTTTCCCATTTTTTTTAAAATCTCCATTTTGCTGAAAATTTTCTTTTGCTTCTTCAAATGTTGATATTAACTTACTTTTCTTCTTACAAAGACTTTCAAAAGTTTTTGTCAAAGTTGGAAAATGATCCTGTGTAAAATAAAAACATGTACATATATGTATATTATTTCACATCTGATTATGAAAACAAATACCTAAAAGTATGTATATTTTGCATTAATATTTATTTATATATAACTATTTTTTAATAAAATTTTTATAGATTTTTACCTCAATCTTTTTATCTGTTATATTATGCAATCTTTCAAGATTTTATCTTGTTCCAAACATTCCAACTTTCATTTCGCTAGTTTCTCGTTTTTTCATTTTGATAGAATCCCAATTTTTTATTGTTGGACGTAATCGTAAATCATTTTCTTCATCGAATTAAACATGGTCAACATATAATAGCTGCATAAAAAGAACATAGTCAAATTTGTATGTTATGTAAAAAATTTAAAATAATGTTTTAAATAATGAAATATTATCAGCAAGTAAGTCAGTGGACCATAGAAGTACCCTTTACAATTTTTTAATACATATGACCTTGTGTTATTAATCAATGAGTCAATTGTGTAACTACACCAGTCAATTTTTGAAAAATATGTGGTGCTTGAAATCTTCTTTAATATATTCTCATTGATTTTACCTGCAGGTGTACTTTCAACTAGAGTGTTGCAAAACAGAACAATGAAATTGAGTTTGAAGTTGAAATCAGCCTCTTTTGATGATATAATTGCATTCGTGATATCATTCAATCTAATGTTTTCTGCTTTATGAAATTGGGATATCCATTTGCTATAACATTCATCTTTTGCAGGTCGAAAACTAAGGTCTTCCACTTTTTGGTCACCCATTGGAATTCCAAGCATCTCATTCACACTTGTCTGTCAACCTTAATTTCTCCATTTATAACTTTTAGTACCTTTTTTCCTATATCAAAGCTTTTAACAACAAGTAAACCAAGTGATGAAGGCAACTCATCAAGTTCCAATTTCAATAAGCCTTTAAATCCCATTTCTTTAACACAATTCTTCTGCTCCAAACTAAGTTTCTTTATAATTTTAAGCAATGATTTTGGTGATGAACTGTTACGTATTGTTTTGAAATGATTTTCTTTTTCAACCAAAACTATATTTGGATAACTTTTTTTCTTTTTTATTTAGGTTGTTCTTTTTCAAAAAACAGTTATGTTTATCAATATCACTTATCTTTCTCTTTCCAACATTAGCATGCAAAGAACCTGCAAAAAATATTATTTGTAATAATGAAATTAATAGTATATTTTTTTAAATTAAAAACAAAGAAATTATTATACAAGTTATAGATTAAAATGATTATACACATAGGATTGTATTTACTAAATTTAATTAACAAATTTTCATATAAGTACATATTCACATGTGATTAAACGAAAAGTATTTACTGTTATTTATTTACATTTTTCACATAATTAGATAATACCTTATTAATGGCATTCTATAATAAACAAAAAGCATTTAAACAAACAAAACATTATAAATTATTACTACATGGAAAAGTTGATTATTTGACTTAATTTGTCAAATCTTATTCAAATGTTATTTTATATGTGATTTACATGTGAATCACATGTAACTTGTATGTAATTTACAAGTGAATCACACGTCATTCGTATATAAATTGCATCTGATTTACATGTTAATCACATGTAATTCATATGTGATTTACATGTAAATCATATGTAATTCATATGTGATTTAGAAAGTGAATCACATGTAAATTACTCTTGAATCACATATCACTCATATATAAATTGCATGTATTCCAAATCAAAAATTTTAATTTAGATTCTAGAAAGTCAACACTTTCAAGAAGGCTTCTACACCTTTTGGGACAAATATCTCAGAAAACAAATGCATATATTTGAAAAGGAGACTAAGTTACAGATATGAAAGAATGTTGAGAGTGCTAATTTTTTATTTAAAAAATCAGAGGAAAGGTTCGTTTACTTATGCATGGGCATTAGTTGAGAGTGTTGAAGAACGAGAAAGAGGGATAACAATGACAGTTGAAGTTTCCTTTTGCAAATAAAACAAATACGACGTTGTGGTGTTAGATTCACCGGTGCATAAAAATTTTGTCCTAAGCATGATATCAGGGTCAACACAAGCAGATGTTGAAATTCTTGTTATTGATGCATCACTTGGTGCCTTTGAAGCACGTATCGATAGTGAAATTCTTGTTATTCCCAATCAAAAAAAAAAATATTTTCTAAATGAAAAAAATATGACATGTTTGGTTTGTTGATTTCAGAGATATCATAAGCTAAAAAACTATGAAAGAACTTAAGGTTCCATCATATCAATGTCAACATCATCTCTTCTACCGAAAGTAAAATCAAAGAAAGTTTCAATGAAAGGCTCATACCAATTGCTTGTATTAGAACAAGTAATACTAATTAGGGTTATTACTTCCTTTTCAGAAAACCAAAAACATAGACAAAAATTATGTAAAAATGCTAAATTACCTTTCATATTTAGAGTATAACGTTTTGAAGAAGTATCTTGTTGATCGATTTTCTTCGATCTTCTGTAACCGTTTGAAGAATTATAGTGTTGATTGACCTTCTTCGAAGTTATACAACGCTTTGTAGAAGTACAGTGTTGATTGATTTTCTTCGAACTTTTATTTGAAAGAGGTAAATCACTTGAATGTTGTTCTGAAGACATGATTTAGTTTGAATCGCTAGCTTTTGAAATGCGAAGGAAACCCATTTTATAATTTTAGAACCCTAAATGAAAAAAAAAAAAAAAAAAAAAAAAAAAAAAAAAAACTCTTTTATGTGATACGATATTCAATTTCGTTTGCATTTACGGTATTAGCCCCTTGTTTTTTAAATTGTTTTAGATTTGTGTTCGTTTTTTTCATTCAATTACAAAAATACAAACCTGTACTTTCAATTTTATCTTTTTAATAATATTGAACATTTGAATAAAAAATGATTTAATGCTATAAATTGTATTATATTTTTATTTTTTATTTATAGTTTATTATACCTTTATTTGTATTTATATTTATAATTTTGTATGATGTGTTAAGTATTAAGCAAATATATGTGTAACAATTATATAAATAAACATATTTTTAAAATTATATTTTTAATACATATAATTTATATAATGAAAACTATAGTAGATGATATTTGCAAATCAAATGGATTTTCACTATAATTAATAGTTTCAACTATCTGGTCCATTTCAAAAATTGGTGAATATATGTCTTTTGACATCACATCTCCATGTACTTGCCTTGCCGATATTAGAGAGCGTGCTGATTGATGAGACATGATAATTTATTATTATTATTATTATTATTATTATTATTATTATTTGAATAAAAATATTAACATATTTTTATATAATCTATGATAATATTTTATTTTAAGAAAACATTGAAGCTATATAGATATACAATGACTTTTAACTTTAAATTATGAAATTTTTAATGATACATTTTTTATTTAAATGTTAATCAAAATTTTCCAGATTATGCAATTAAAAGTCAAATATGAAGTTTCATAAGTAATAACAAAAGTTTTAATGAGTTTCATATTATGATCTCATTAGAGTTACATAATTCATAAATTTTGAAAAAAAATAACAATAATAAAAAAATAATGCTTTTACCACTTCAAAGACTGTAAGTCCCCAAATTGCTTGTGTATCAATCATATCCAATTGATGGTGCGGAATCTCAATCAATTGGATGATGTCAGATCAATATAAGAGAAGGAGAAGAAGAATTAAGATGAATCTAATGATATATTCAATGAATTGAGTGATGCTCCATATACATAGATTCTCTCACACACTATTCTTCTCTTTAGAACATGCTCCTCTTTTTTTCTCTCTCTTCTGGCCTTACACTCCTCACCCTATATATATGAGACATGGGCCACCAGCAACACACGAGTGTACAGTTGCACACGCGTGTGCGGTCGTACACAGGGTGTGCAGCCGCACACACATGTGTATCCGTACACAGCCACAAAATTACAAAAAAAATATATTTTCTTAGAAAAGAAAAGTATAAACCATATTTTTGACCCAACAATCCCCCCCTTGGTTTATAGCTTTCTTTTCTAATTGGCCCAACAAACTCCCCCTAAAAAGTAGCTGGCTTTTCTTGTTAATCTTCATTGGGAGCTTGGCTTCAACATTAATCTTCAAATTTCTTCACAGCATCAAGATGAACATATGAATCTTCAATAAATGACTTCATCTTGAGCAGTTGGGATTTCTGCAGAATTTGACATTGAACGCACATTGGGTGAGGAGGCTTCTTGTAGAGATTCATGAAAGATGGCGCTTTTAGCTTGAGAATCTTCAGAGAGAACAAAGAGAACGAATCTTCTGGATCACTTCTCCAAGTTTATAGATAGCAGCAGATTGATTGAGGATGCTTCAATGCAATCTGTCACATAATCTTCAAGCACAACTTAACCTTGCTTCTGGGGTTGAAGAATTGCATGTTTAAAGAATAATCTTCATTTCTTGCTCCTTCGAATGAAAATTCTTCGATGCTCACGGATGAAGCTTCGGCTCAGAAATCTCGATACAAACTCTATGAGTCTCATCTACATCTGAATTCATTTTTCTAGACAAAACAAAACTAAAAGAAAAATTAGCACACAAAAAATATTTTTGGATTTTTGATATTTTCTGAAAAAAAAAAAATTAAAACATAAATAACACTATTTTTTATATTTTTAGTTTTCTATTTTTTGTTTGATTTTTTAATTTTTCTGATTTTTGATTGATTTTTGAATTTTTTTTAATTCTCCCCCTAAATTTGTGCATAGAGGAAAACTATGAACAAATTTAACAAAAACAAAAATATTTGGGATCAAAGTTGTTAGACAGTCTTAATCCGTTTGTCAGTACCTTCCCCTTCATGAATAGATCTGGTCGATCTCTGGTATTGTGGTCCACTTAAGCACAAAAAATTGTGACAAATTTTAGGAATGCTATCAGTGACAGGACAGATTGATCCTAAGTTACTATATAAAAATTCCTAATGACCATTTATCTAACGACGACCAAGGATATTATCCACCTTAATTGAGCAGCGAGATCTACAGACAATCCAGAATTGTTCAATTTTAGATGTACCAGAACATGTTTCCCGCATCCTGATATACCCCAATAATCAAGAACTTCCGAGATACTCCTTACTTTAGGTGAGTAGACTATTATTCATAGAGAGGATAGATTTAGATTATGATTAATTATAGTTTTAGAGGGATTGAGAAGTAGAAGGTTGCATATGTTGTGTACCAGGTCGGATTGTTAATCACACAAAGGAGACAACATATGGCTAACAGATAGGAAGAATTTCATAGATATAAGATGCAGAGAAATAGATCTGCATATGTTGTAGTCCAGTTCAGATCTCTTCCAATCACGCAGAGGAGGCAACATATGACTAACAGTAAGAAAGAAATGAAATAATTTTCTACATACCTACTTTATCGGAATTCCCCAATCACCCTATCAATACCGGAATTAAGATCAGAATCCGTACATCGAGGAAAAGTTAAACCACAGTTCTAGATACGGGTTCTCTTAATGTGACTGGTGGATTCTCATGTATATCTCCCTGCTCAACCTATCCGAGCGTCGTATTGTCAAGCTAAACGGAACTATCTAGGTCAAGATTTATCAAGTCTCTAGATTCCTTAAGTTCATCTGCATCTAGTCAAGTCCGCTAAACTCTTCGTGCCTACTAACGCATCGAACACAGAGCCTAGACAATTCAGCTTTGGTACCTTACACAGATTCAGATTGCCTGTTATCACTTGTTGAAATCACTTCCCAATAATAACTACTAA